CATACAGTTTATGGTGCAGTGGAGGAGCCTTAGAAGTACATCTTATAAAAAGCACGACGATCACACTTGGTTATTCGGACCAGGTTGAAATAACGGCCAGGAAATTTAATAGAGATAGTCTGGGAGAACCTGGCAAGGTCAATGAATATGAAAGGAGGAGCTTGTTAGATATCCCGGTTTTGTGCAAAGAACTGTGAGAGATGATGGCAGAATAGAAAAAAATTAGAAGCGTTAAAAAAGAACTGTTTTTGAAATTTCCACACTATAATCTTTTGGTTTATTATTTTTCTTTTTTTAACAGTGAAGGAGGGTGCAGCACGTCTTCAGCAGCAGTGGACCCGGTAAAGGAGAGGAAGTACCTGGTGACTGCATCACAGCTGCTGCTGCTGTTTTCGGTTTGCATCAAATGCCTGGCTCCGACACGGACGAAGCTGACACATCGAGGGACCCTTGTGCACGCCGTCATCACGTGTGCACGAGGGCACAAGACTGTGTGGGAGAACCAGCCCAGAATCAACAGCAAGGCACTCCTCAACATCCTGCTGCCTGCTGCCATCACCTACTCTGGAGCCAGCCCAACGCGCGTTCTTCGCCTCCTGGGATCTATAGGCGTGCAAGTCTTGAAGAAGACTCAGTTCTTCCGGGTGCAGAGCTCTTTGGTCTTTCCTGCTGCTACAAAGGTGAGCAGAAGTGACTACAAGATTGTCCGTTCATTAAACATGTTCACTGATTGAGCCTGACACTGAGTTTTCTTGTTTCAAAGACCTGGGAAGCTGAACAGGAGTCTCTCCTGACAGCCACGAAAGACAAGCTCCACCTTGCAGGCGATGGGCGTGCTGACTCGCCTGGTTACTCTGCCAAGTATGGGACGTATACACTGCTTGACACCCGCATCAACAAGATCATGCACTACGAGGTTCTTCAGGTAAGAAGTGGCTAAATATAAGATGACCTCAATGCATCACATGGATCAGGTATGCATTTTACGGCACCTTTTTCTACCCTAGTCGACAGAAGTCAAGTCGAGCAACCACATGGAGACGGAGGGCCTGAAACGTTCTCTGGACTTCCTCCTGAGCATGGGGCTGTCTGTGTATGTTCTTGTGACCGACCGGCACTTTGGGGTGAATGCCCTGATGAGAGACAGGTACCCCGACACGAAGCACCGGTTCGACGCATGGCATGTCGCAAAAGGTAATAGTATTGATAACTCCAATACCCCTGTACATGGGCCGTTTTAACAATCATTGAGTCAAGGATCATGGACATCTCACTGAGCTCAACTAAGTTGCCTGGTGCTACGCGGTACATGGGCCTAATGACCCGAGTTCTGATGCACGTCACGTGACCCACATGATAGAAAAAAAGGTATTGAGGATAATTGTGTGTAACATGTTTCACAAAACACACACAAAAAAAAGTTTAACTTGACATATACTGTAAACAACTTAAATTTCACGAATCGCCCATTTTGAGATCCCACCATGTCGCAAAAATGAAAACCCACAAATTATTCCAAAAATTCAGCTTTGACCTAAATCTTAAAATATTGAGCCTGCAAAAAATAAGTCGTTCAGAGTGATAGATTTTAGTTTATTTTGAGAACAAAGAAAACGAAAATTGGAATATTTCACAGAAATTTAAAGCAAGAGTGACAACGAAAGTCTTACTGCCACCGACATCACAATGGCCGCACTTCCTTGACGTTTCGCAATAGTTTTAGTGGTAGCTCTGACTTCGTATCATACCTCTTCTGATAATATTTGCTGCTATGATAATTTTTAGATACCTTCTTCTGCAATAGTAAATGCTTCGCTAGCACTGGCTATCAGTGGTGAATGCTGCCATCTTTAGCTCTGTTGGGGTGAACCCCCATCAGTTAACTGAGGTAGGCGAGCTCAGTTGAATTCAATGATCGTTAGCGGCTTGATGGTAGATGGCACTGCTGTGTAACACCGCCCGATCACGATTGAGTTAATGATCGCTGGCGCAATGAACTATAGTGCAACATGCTTTGTTGTCAAGATACATGTGGCATTATTCAAACGTCATATGGTATACTAAAGTTGACGATGTTGTCCATGCTGCACCAGTATCTAGATGCAATTTTACTATAGCTTCATATATTTAGTGTATCTAATATCAAAACTTGTTTTCCAAACTAGACTGGTGCTGAGCTAATAATCATGGAGGCTTTCTAATTTATAGGCATTGGGAGCAAGATGGCCTCTGCAGGCAAGACAAAGAAGAACAGCATCTTGAATGCATGGGTGAAGACTGTACGTGGACACGTCTACTGGTGTGCACAGACCAGCAGTGACAATGGCGCGCTGGTGCTCGCAAAATGGGTGTCCGTAATGCGACACGTGAGCAACGTCCATCAGCACCCCAGCCCCCTGTACCCTGCGTGCACCCATGGCCCAATCGAAGAGCGCTGGTGGCTTCAGGAAGGTAAAAAAAATTCATTCTTTAAACATTCATAACATTCTTTTCACTCCAGTTGTCGGCGAAGCTTTCATAACAAGGACAGACTTCCTTTGGCTGCTCTGGCCAGTCTACAATCAAATAGCACAAGGAGGAATCGGAGATGAATGCAAGTGTTTCCAGATGGGGGATCAGCATACCAGATTGTGTTTCGGATAACTCGTATGCTCCCCCCCCCCCCCTTTTCCGCTCTGCATTTCACACCTGCGGAATTCAAAAGGAGGGTCAGGATATCCCCCCCCCCTTCTAGACCTGCCGATGGGAGGACTCCATCTCATATCCAGCTCATAGTACTGAGCGGACATTTCAATTACATCAAGAGGCTTAAACTGCATGTTTTTAGCCTTATATTTCAAGAAAAACACTCCACTTTTGAGGTCATGAAAAGACACAGAATGAGGAAGTGAAGACCGACTTGTAACATGCAAAAGACGCATAAAAAGGAAAATTGCAGATTATATGAAAATTATTTATGCAGAATTACTGAGCAGAGATCTAGCTTCTGCAGAGATGGATAAAAAATAAAATGGCAGTTGCATCACGTATACAACACAAAAAAGTGATTTGTGGACAGGCTGCAATGGGCACTGGCTTTGCTGTTTAACCTTTTGGGTGCCACCAGGAGTATACTCGGCTGCGCTCTGGCTTACCTGCTCAGTCATTATCGATATAAACTCAGCACTTACAAGGGTCAGGGTGTCTAGAGACCGGCAAAACCGGGAATTGTCAGGGGAAATTTAATTACCAGGAAAAATCGGGGGACTGTCAGGGATATTGCCAAAGAGCGAGCCGAGTCAGGGAAAATGTGCCGGAAACGCTATCGAGTGCCCTGAGCAAAGACTTGAAAACCTGTGGGCAGAAAAATAGGTAATAAATTCTGCTTGGAGCGGAGCCCGCGGGCCCTGCTCAATTGATGTAGAGTGTAATACCCGATGCAAAGGGAACCGCCGACAAATCCAGTAAAAGCCTTGGATTGGATTGAGGGCGCGACACTAGACTAGATCCAGTTAGAGCTACTAGATTTATTATTATTAACAAATGGGAAAGCTGCAGACCCCAATACAATCCAAGCCAAAAGTATACGAAAGTGTGCATCTGGCGGCTATGCCATGCTGCCATTCGTAATTATTAACATGTCTGGTTCAGCGTCATGTTTTTATTGTGTTTCTGGAAGTGGCTTCTTCACTGACTATGTCAGGGGGCAAGAAAGTGCTCATTTAATCCGGACAGGACGAACCCAAATATTTCGGAATATGCAAGTTGGGTTCAGCCCGTGCGAAAGTATTGTTACAGTTCTGAATGCTCAATGCCTTGTGTTGTAATGATCTGATATATTTAACCACCTCTACAATGGTCAGGGACCGTTGTAGAGTTGCAATAACCTGCTAGACACCCTGAGGGTTATTTCGGTACTTTCTCTTATCGCAGGGACCGAGCCATACGTGGCTCTCGAAAAGATCGTCATGTCCAAGCAACTGCTCAAGGACATTCCAAGGGTGTCTGGAGACGGGCAGACCTATCGCCTAGAGTCGTTCCACAGCATGCTGCTCCGGTTTACTCCGAAATCCAGTCATTTCAGTTTTGAGGGCATGGTGGCACGGTAAGCAGGCATCCTGATATATGCTAGTGATATTTGTTTATTTATGAGCCTTTTCTGAAATTTCTACTGTGCACCACTCACGCAGAAAATTCTGGGGATGCACTTATGTACACTAGCAGATGAGCGAGTGCACATACTGTTTTTAGGAGCGAGGCCCTACGTCAATTTGTACAATCTTTATCTCCCTCGTCTTTAACCAGCTTCTCATAGTTACCGTAAGTCGAAGGGAAGCCATTTTTCATACATACTTGTGTCCGCACAATGGTGGCAAATTGCAGCGCATCTTGAACTGTAAACAACTTAATTTTCGCGAAGGCCTAATTTTTGTGAATCGCCTACAATTTGCGAAAAATATGTCCCGCAAACAATTTTGGTAGAATGTAAGCACATAAGAATCTACATTGAGATCCCATTGTGTCGCAAAACTTAGAACCTGCGAATTATTACAAAGCTTGAGCTTCGACCAAAATCAAGAAATATTGAGACCGCGAAAAATAAGTCGTTTACAGTAAATGAGAAGTGTCGACTTAATTTTGATCACAATAATAGTGAGTCAATCAATGAGAATAGGATGGGTTGCTAGTGTGTGAAACGATGCAGGGCCATATTCCCGAGGATGGTCTGCTAGCATACGACAGGTTGCCTGCCAGTGTGGATACGGTTACTAGCATGTGTTGTGCAGTATGAAAATTTCTGAAAAGTTCTAATATGAAATATGCTTGGGGCATGTTTACAGTCTTTCCTCCCCTTATATGCGGCCCTCACAGGACTGCCGTCGCGGTGCTCCACTACAATGAGAACAGCAACCGTGCGCAGGCCACAACGAAGGACGAAAAAAAGCGAAGTTGTCTGAAGTTTCCCAAGTCACGGAAAGGCGAATGGGTCCTCAGCCCCATCATGGAGACTGCGTCGTACGGTAAATACAGACACTTTTATTCAGACATTGGCTGCAGCTTGACTATCACACTTTCTTACTCAGACTACGTCCAGAGGCTCCTCAATTCCTGCCTGGAGTTGGCCAAGGCTTCCCGGACCTACCAGCAGGCTGTGGCTGCGAACGGGCCGCGTCCTCGTCGACCACCTCTGTGCAGCGTTGCACAAAGGCCAGACAAGGAAGCAGCGGTGTTGGCCCACAGGACCCGGTTCGATCAAGCATAGTGGAAGCCCGTGTATGTGGTCGATGGGAATTCTTTTCTTATCCTGGCCACCACACAGCACGGGAGCCTGACGCGGCGAAACCTGCCCAGTCGTCCCCAAATCCACCAGACGAACTGGCTGTATGCCGTGTACCTGTACCGTCTGAGAAAGTAACAGAAGAATTGGTAAGAGTCTTAGAAAGACTTCATCTGATACACTTTTACTGTGAACTTGGGGACCCTTTTGCCGCATCTCTATAGGAAAAGGCTTTTCGAAACCTGGAAAGCCCATGATATCTAGACATTTCTAGAAATTTCATGCGTGAAAACCTTTGCCGCTGCTTCTGGTGTGCTTTTATAGAGAAGAAATTCACTACTGCCTGTATGGGTGTTTCCTCGTTCTTGAGTGATTGACTGGACAGACAATTTTAAAATTCAATTAAATCTTTTAACTCGTTCATTCGCCTGTGGACTGCAAGTTGCAGACTGATGATGAGAAGTCCCTCGACCTGAGGAACTCTCAGGTTGTGCGGGACCTGACCTGTAAGCCATGGTCCAAGGCAGTAATGTTTGGATGTCCCTCTCACCTCAATGTTGTTATTAGGAAGTCGCAGACAATCTCTGCTGTCACTTGACTACAGAAAGCAACCCCAGGCTACTTACTGAACTAGTTTGTTGCAAAACGGTAATGGTGAGAGAAGTTTGTAGAATAGTTCCACAGTGTCTGTTCCAAGCTGTTTCCATGCGCTTATTGGAAAAAGGACTGGTTGTAGAGGTGATCCTTCTTTCGCTGCTTACTTGTCGGTTGTCTGACATGCGTGACAGTATTTGGACAAGTATTGGCTTCGCTATCCATTCTGGGCCACCACAGAAGCATTCACATAGTTGTATTTCGGTTCACACCATTCGTCTGAGTGAAGCAGAAGGAACCAGCAGTTTTGCGTATAGCAGTAAGCCATATACAGAGGAAAGTTCTTTTCGTATCTTGTAGTGGGAGACAGTGCTGATTCCCATAGGTATTTGAGACCCCAACCCATGTTGACACACTATCACCCGAGGTAAATCGGGGTCTTGTTCTTTCTCTTTCTGTACCTCTTCTTGGTCAATTCAGCAGAGACTGCACACAGGGCAAGTGAATTTTCTTTTTTCGACGTATGGCTTCGTGCAATCTGAGGAATTAAATGCAGGAAGACGAGAAAGCTCGACTGCCACAACATTCTCATTGCCCTTTTGGTGATCTTGAGGAGACGCATGGCCACCCGGCAATTGTTATCGGTTGTCGACCGTTTCCCTAAATACAGAGTAGTGTAACCATCTGCCACAACATTCTCATTGCCCTTTTGGTGATCTTGAGGAGACGCATGGCCACCCGGCAATTGTTATCGGTTGTCGACCGTTTCCCTAAATACAGAGTAGTGTAACCAGAGCCTGGTGGTCCATCCTGAGCATGAAATGGTGACCGAAGAGGAAAACATGATGCTTCTCGCAGGCCCAGAGGCACGCCTATTCCTCTAACTCTGCAGAGCGGTTGCACTGGGCGCTGGAAAGCAATCGCGATGTGAACAGGATAGTGTGAATTCCATCTGGATGTTTTGCTGTAGCACTGTGCCTAATCCATAATCCAATGAATCTTTTCTGACGATTGTAGAATTCTAACTGGAGAATTAAAAAAAAACTGACAAGTAAATTTCTCTTCAACCTGTGACGATAGCAGGCAGTGTCACGTCGAAAACTAAATGGAACAGTTTCGAATCGTGTTTTGACTGATGCAAATGCCACCTCTTGTGCTTTTTGCCATTATAAGGGGACATCTTTCCGCAGATGCACATGCAAGGGCCTCACGATGGTTGCAAAGTTAGGTATGAATTTGAAACGGTATGTAAGCAGGTCAAGCAAAGACCGGTTATGATGTCATGTCTCTGAGTAGAAGCTTGCATGGTGGCTTGAACATTATCATGGCATGGCTTAATTCCCTGAGGTGTCAACTTATGTCCAAGAAATTGAAGTTGCTGCACTGAAAAATGCATTTGTTTTTGTTTGGTTTCCAACCTGCGTCCTGTAGGCGGGGTAAGCCTTGTCTTAGGCGGGCATCATGCTCTTCAGTTGTGCAACTGAAGTTGAGCACATCATCCTGGATAGATTGACAATGGTGCCTGTTGTGTCCCAAAGAATACAGTTCTTTATATTTTGAAAAGCCGGAGCAGTGGAAGCCAGCCCAAAACATACTGTGAACAGGAAGAGACTTTCATGAGTCACGAACGCAATGAGGTCCCCGCTCTCCTCTATCAGGTTCAGCTAGTGGTACGCTGACGAGAGGTCCCACTGGTTGAAGATGTGGGTGCCAGAAAGCTGGTGAAGGAGCTCGTTTGGACACAGAAGAGGACGTGAATTGAGAACAACAGAGGTGTTTGATTTGCGGAAGTGGTCTGTGATGCATTATTGCGCTCGATCACCCAGGAGTGCTCCAACTTTGCCGGCTCTACAGGAACTTTGTCATGCACTGCAAAAGTTATCCTTCATAGATTCTGTTGCACCAGACTGATGGACACTTCGTCTTCACCTTGTGAACATACCCAATGGCGTGGCCCATACCTGAGAACAGCTGGAGGAAACCTTTGACGGCCTCTGGAAGGTCGTTTGCCGAAATGATAGTCACCTGTCATCCGCAGGAGATGAAAAGTCCAGTTGAATTTCCAACCCTTGTAAAGCATTTATAGTCCCATTAGGGCTGTCTTGTTCGGACGACGTGGAATGTGCAATCGCCATTACTTTGCGCCAACTGTACTGGTGAGCTGGCTTTTTCCAAAATGTTTGGAATAGCAATGTTTTCTTACGGAGTAGCCAATGAATGCAGTACTTGTAGGTTGCAACTTACAAGAATGGAAGCATCTTCTGTAGACGCTTTCCAGAAGGATTGAAACCGAGGGTCTTGTGTCTACTAGGAGTTTGATAAAAAGGAACGCAAGTATCCTGCATGTGGTACAGTTTGCTAATATCCGAGTTGCTATATTTCAGTTTGTTCTATGCTTGGTACTTGTGATCCTGTCAAAACTGTTTGCTTGCAAACAAAGGCAAAATGTCCAATCTTTCATTTTCTGCATGCTTGATTCCTTGCAGGACGTTTAGGGTAGTCTGCCATGTGGCACATTGAACCAGATCTGCAGTAAATGCTGGACGACCTTTGATTGGGTGTTTTGCCCCTAACTATTGGTTTCTTTTGGGCTTGAATCTTTGCCACTTGAAAACTGAGTCCCGCATCTTTGGTAAAAACTTTGGCCTCCTTCATCGCCCGCTGAACTTTTTAGGTGATGGCAAGAGCTGATTCGAGTGGTAGCTCAAGCTCTAGTAGTGGGCGGTTTCATACTTCGGCATGAATTGTCTTATTGACAAGTTGATTGCAGATTATTTCATCTGTTATTGTCCCAAACCAGCAGTTTGTCGCAAGGCCCCGGAGAACGTGACACACTCTTGTACTGTTTTGGCCGGTCATCCACGTGTGCAACGAAAAGTAAATCTTTCCAATGTTTTACTGTCAAGAATTTTTGTAACTCTCTTGCCACTGCATCATAGGCTCTGGAAATGGGCGATGCAGGTCTGCGCGATTCGGAGGTAGCTCCTGCAGTACTTGCACTTAGATGAGTGGTAGCAGTGGACAAGGCAGAATCTTCCGGCAGTTTGCAGTAGATCCGCTGACTCTCAACTTCAAGTGAGCTAAATAGAATGGCAGTTCTGCCATTATCTATTGTCGACCCATTGGAAGGGATCGTGTACTGGCGTACCATTCCTCCATGAAATCGCAGGCTCGCCTGGGTATGGTAGGAAAGACGGGTGAATCAACCTTTATAATCGAGTTGAAGCTGTCGATTGTGACAATTGTTATGTATAGGGACTGTCTATGCAAGTTTAACAGAAGGCAAGCTGTTCCCATTCAGAGCTCAGTTCGTTCATTCTTATTCATTGTCTTCTTCGGCTCAACCTACACGTAGACACAACAATTTAGGTAATTCAATATTCCCCACTCCCCCAAAACAAACACCTGGCTATGTGCCTTCTTCGATCCAAGGTACCATGAGCACAACTAACGTTTGCAATATTCGCGACTCCAGCTTAGTCTAGGGGGTGTGCTGGTCAGGCAAAATGGCGGACAAAAGGACGTCGTTTTCATCGTTCAGCACGCGGACCACCATAAATATCTTGCATTGCAGCATAACATCTGTGTTACATAAGAAAGCAAAACGATTTTTCGACAGTAGAAACCTTCTAATCAATGCATGGGAATGACATGGCAGAAGCATAAAAATAATCACTGGAAACAGTGTTTGTTTCTACGCTGCCTACAAGAACCAAGCTGTGATAGCAGAAGACAGAATCAAAATGACCTCCTCTCTGGAGCTTCTCAGCGGTGCCGCTACGCAGCGTCGATAGATTTTGTTGGAGTCGCCAATACACTAAGCGGGATTTACAGACTGTCTTACAGTGTAGTGCATTTATATTTGATATGCTATAAAAGTTCTGGTCTTACTTGTTCCGATCCCGAGCTGCTGGCTCCAAATATGTTGGGCGAAAAAATTTCAGCTGGTCGTACGCTATGTTCAGCAGTCGCACATCCAGACATACGAGCAGAAAAAGTTCATTTTCTGTGACACACCTTCCCAAGTTTTTTTGTGTGATTTTTGGCATGTCCCTGCAGCATTGCCCGACCTCCTGGGGGCAATTTCCACATGTGCATCTGAAAGAGGATACATTTCAGTTGAAAAATTATCTTCTATGCTTATGTGAAAAGGGAGCTTGAGGCAGATGTGAGAGTGGCGTGCCAACGTTTCACTAGGAGACCTGCCTTGTTCAGGAGACCTAACCCTGAAGAAGGTAGGTTTCCTAATGAAGTATCAGCACGCCGTTCTGAGGTCCACCTGAGAGGTTAGGTCTTCACATTCTTCCTGCCAGCCTGGACTCCCTTGGTGCTATGTTTGTACTTTCTATAGTTCTGGTCACCCCAGAAAATGCAAGTTGCACAAATAGTTCTTATCTGCATAATGTAGTTCGTACTGGACTTGGGACTCCTGGCTTTCCTGTTGCTGGCTATCACGTCGTTCCCTTGCTGGCAATGGGGGATCAAAGTTGTACGGATCAGGTACATATATAGCTCCTTGCTGCAGGCCTCCCAAGTCTGCTCCAAGCGGCAGGCTGTCGTCGTCGGACATAGATACTGAAAATAAAGCATTTGGATCAATGAAACATTTGATTATGTATGATCAGTTACATTTATTTTTCTCTGACGGTTGCATTAGCTCTGGCAAAGTGTTGTAAACAAGAATGTTTAGTAGGAGTTATTTTAATCGAGTAGTGTAAATTACACATGTGTATTACTTTGTTGTGCTGGTTTTGTGGGAATTGTGTGTATGTGATTGTTCTTACCAAGCTATGGTATCAATAAAAATGAAACAATAATTGCACCCTCTTTTTTGGTCCTTGACATTTGCATAGGTGGCTACATGTGATTACTTATGCTCATGCCACTAATTTGCTGTTACCCTCTAACAAAGAACAAAACAAAACAAAAAAAAACGTGCGTGCAAATATTAGCTACACTCTGAAAACAAACAAATGTGCACTGAAGCTTAATTATCGCAGCATTGATCATTTTCGCGGACACTTTTGCTATTGACAACAAACGTGTAGTCTGTCGTACAGCTCTATAAAGGTGCACAATTGGGCTACTAAATTTGGAAATATGTGCGGTCAAACCAGTCAAACGCACACCGCCTTGGCCGCACTACGCGCCGGGCGTTTCCGTGTGTACGAGTAAATGTCTAGCGCCTGTAGAAACAAGCGGCGAGAAAACTTCGCCATTTTCGGGAAAAGATGCGCAAATTTGGGGGTTTACGTGCCAACCCAACGAGGGGTACCTAGCACGTCCCAACGGAGGTCTGATTATTAATTTGGACCACTTCGCAATCTTTTGACGGGCAACCGATATCTCGGTTACACGGCGCCTTCTCGGTAATAAGCAAGCGTAAAATTACGAGCATCTCGGTCGGGATTCTAACCCGCCAACTGGGGATACGCAAGCTGACCTATGTTCCGGGACAACATTTTGTGGCATATCGGAAAAATTAGAGCGCGAGTACACAGCTTTCGCCAGCGCTGAAAACCCTTCCTGACGAAATGTCTGGTGATGCCAAACCTTCGACGGCACATAAACGATAACTGAAAGAAGAGTTAGGGCACGGGCGAGCTGGTGACCGAAGACACGGAAAGACGATTATGTGGCACGTCACCTCGCACAGCAAAGCTTCGTGGGATGTGTGACGGTTGTAACTAAGCTCTAATGTATCAACTTCGTGAGGACAAACGAATGCACCACACTGTTGATTTTACTACAGTTCTTTTGTTCCAGCGGGCATTGGCCGTGGCACGCTCGTACGTAGTACATATACATGTATTGTTTACTCTATTTCAGCTTCTGAAATGCCTACGAAACATACGCTTGAGAAAACTTGCCTTTTCTGTAAAGAAGCGCTAGCTTCGTCCCCGGTGGTGAAGACGTCGTTGGATGCTGTAGAGAGCTAGGTTGGCGAAAAGTGCGGAGCAGACGACACTGGCGCTTGCTCCCCGCTCGCCCGCCCGTCCGCGATCGTGGAGAGATTCACGTGACGGCTCGAACCACGTGGTTCGTCATAACGTGCACATGCCTCTGACGACACGAGACCAATGTTGCCTGTCTCATTCAAAGTTTCGGTTTCGGTTGCTGCTAATGTTGAAAATACGATTACACAAAAAATATTTCACATTTCGCGAATCCAAAGACGTCAAGTTGTTCATCAGTGCTTTGGGAAGTGGAATCACAAGTAATCCCAATTTTTCTGGAATTGAGCGGAGTTGCCTTCACACGCGGCCGACAAAAGGGCCGTCTCACGTTGAGGGATATTACGGTGAAAACGGGCGTAGAACACTGTGCACGCATCACCGCCATTCACTGAGAAGAAACTCGAGCGAACGAACGCAACCAAAGAACACGGCGGGAATCACGGCGCGACGAAACCCATCCAGACCTGTCCAAACGAGTCCGGACGAATCGAGTCCAAATTACGACCATCCAAAAAAAAGATGGCTGCAAGTAGCAGGGAACCAAAACATTTAAATGCGTGTGCATCTGAAAGGCTTGGTTTCACAGTAAGCGTTTTACTTGGTATGGTTCACGCGATCTCTAGAAATAAAAAGTCTATTGTAGCCTGGAGAAAGTAGCTAACTATTTTTCAATACGCTATGAACAAAGTCGTTTATTATTAGGTTTAAAAAGCTCTTTGGTAGTCTCGAAGGGTAACCTTGCAGTAACTACCTGATCAACGGTCGGCACAACTAAGTCGTGATTTTCTCTTATTTAATAGGCAGCATTTTACTAATTAAGTTTAGGTCTTTGGTACATGTGGTCTTTCTGCACAGCATACGAATGCGATCGCGAATGCCATAGTAAAAACCAGGGCTCGTTTTCTGGAAGCTGGTTAACTCTCACCGAGGCACCAAGTTAACCGCATTTCCCTACCAGGGTGAATTTTAGATCACGTAACTAGCAGAGCAGGAACGGCGGGGAAACATGGCGGTGCCCTCCTAGCGAGTGTCGCTCGCTCCAGAAGTGATGTGTCGTAGCCGCTGCACTACCAGGCACGTTTGTAAGCAATGAATGGTGCAGGAGGCTTTTTTCTTTTCCTTAGATCAGTTGAATCGCAAAGTGTGAGCAATGATCTCGCCCCTTTTTTATATCGTCTTTCGATTCTTACCACTCTTCAGCCTAAAAAAATCCGGCAATTGTCGAAATTGCAACGGAATTGGAATCCTACTGGACTACCTTGACTCGAAGGGCCAGACATTCATGGCAGAAAAAAGCAGGCTGCGTGCCAAATTCCACTGGAGCCGAAGTACACGATTTTCATTTTATGAAGAAGGTTTTATCTGCAGTCCTTACATGCTAGTCAGCCATGCATGCTGCCGGTGTGCCGCCCGCCTTTCACCGCTCACTTCTTCGTCATCTTTCCTACCACTGAATTTCGTCGTCCTCTCGCCCTGGAAAGGACATCTCAACAAGACTTGTCCCGACTTCAGACAACCAAACATTGAATATCTGCAAAACATGGGCCCGTTTTGGTAAACCTTACCCATTATTTGTACTACGAGCAACAAAAAGATGTTTTAAGCTCAAATGTATTGCGCGCTGCGTTGTGAAAACCCCCATTTCTTTCCACAAAGTTTTCCACAAAAGCCCTTTATATTCGCCACCACCAGTAGGTGACACGAGCTACCACCCTATTAAAAAAATAATAAACACGGAGCTATCGTTCATCTAGCCCTCGTCAAACTTGGCAAGGTACACTCTCCGGCAATATGAAAGACCCACTGGGAGCGCGTGGCCGAGGCGGTGGCTGGCGGGAGCGCTGCGAGCGCCCCGGGCAATTCCATTCTGCTTCGAGGAAAGGACGCTCACTCGGGCTCAGCTAAAGCGAAACACGCTTATCAGATTGTGCTGAGTCCCGAGTGAGCGTCCTCCCCTCGAAGCAGAATGGAATTGCCCGGAGCGCTCGCAGCGCTCCCGCCAGCCACCGCATCGGCCACGCGCTCCCAGTGGGTCTTTCATATTGCTGGAGACTGTACTTGTACGTACCTACAAGGAAAAGGCGGGTAACTTTTTACCGCGGTTAAAGTTAACCGGCTTCGAGCAAAGGGGGCCAGGTGCTTATTATGCATTAGCACTGAGAACACATCTTTTATGGTGTCCTGAATGTGTATATTGTCACGAATGACAGTTGATGAGACGACGAAGCACTGAAGCAAAACTAAATGTTTAATAGGGCGAACCTGTGCCCAAACAAAATAAGATTGGACGGACGATAACGTGCGACGATGGCGGTGTCACAGCAGGACCGAGCGCAGGTGAACGTGGAAAACTGGCGTATACTGCGCGTTGCAGCTCCTATTAAGCCTTCCCTGTGAGCTTGGAATTGACCCCTTTCGAATGTGTGCCAATTATTAGGAGGTGGAAAGCACTGCGCAATGGTGGAACAACTGACGTCGTGGAACGCACAAGTCATGACATAATATAGCGAACGTTGGAGCGCGGCCAACGCTATAGGATCCGACGATTCAATCAAACAGCGTCAAAAGTGCAACGCCACTGCGCTCATCTTCTTTTTCTGCGGGTGTGTTTTTGCCTTGTCTTCTAATACAACAAAGCACATAAAGTGTGCTGTGACGTTTCGGATTTTGTGCACCATTCTGTAAGGATTCCAGACATGCCAACAGGCCGGGGGAAGTCTTTCGAAAGGGGTCATATTCTGCCTCGATCCCCTTCCAACTATACAATCTCAACATGAACAAGCTAGATGGTTCTCCAACCTTCTCGAATATTCTACTTACAAGAAGATAGGTAAAGGACAATCGGGGCCGTGAATTCAACTGGTGCCACCTGCGTGTGAGACCAGCGCGCTGCCGACTGGATTACATAGGTTTTTTGTTTTCCTTTACCATCTTTTGGCGTTTTATGCACAAAACATTCACTCTGTTAAAAAGCTAAAACTGCCAGACAGTTTTTGGCTGGCATACATGGTTTAAAAAATGGTCTCAGGACAACCGACCTGCTCATTCAAGTTGTTCGCTTAACGTCCAAAAACAACATTAACATAAATTACGCTTCCAAAGCGATAGTCCCATGCGCGACGAGGGTTCACATCGGCACATCGTAGAACCATGCCGGTTCTCCATAGACTGTGAAGGTCCACCAGCAGTAACATGAGGTAAGGTACACTCCTATAGCTTTTTATGGTGAGAAAACGAATACCGTACGCGCACATGCTTTCGTGCGACGACACTTCTATACTCTGATGAGAAACGTACTTTTAAAAAGTGAAACACCTTAACCACTTCGAACAAAAAGCCTCGTACCCTTGTTGGTTAAACTTTGCTAGTTTATACAACAAACTTGAGCAAAGCATAACACAATATGACTTGCATTATAGCCCTAAGAAAATCATTATTTTGATCTTATAGGAAAATAAACCGAGAAACAACCCGGCGTACAACGAATGAACAAGACCAAGCCACTCGACTACGTAAGCGCAGGGCAATATATTTCATTGACTCACGGTGGGTACTTGCGACGGTCTCCCTTGACCTCGTCCTCTATCCCATGAACGTCCCACCAGACTATTTCCCTGTTGCACATCTTGCCCATGCGTTCTACGAACCTCTCAACAGCCTTGTAGAGATCAAAGGTATACGGTTTTCCTGCTGATAAGGAAAGCAACAATTACGCAGGGCTTCGTAATGCAATGAATAGAGTCTAAATTAATATCCCCAGTTTTTAGACCAAGTTGTCAATAAATAATCATCTTCCCGGCAATATTTAGTACATAATAACGGGCACGGAACGAAGATAAAAGAAAAGGCAGCGGTGTGAAATTTTGCTTCGTACTTCGCAGTGCTGAAAAACATTTTCCCAATTTGAAGCGATTCATGATGGCATATTAACATTGTATTTCAGACCTGTTGAAACATATTCATCGAGACATAAGACTAAATCAAACATAATTGTCTAAATTTGACGAGCTGCACTACCACTCTCTGCATTTTACAAGCATACGTGACGCACACTTCAAACTTGGTGGCATCAGCGAGCAAATAACGCTTTATCGCTTCCGGTCTTCAAAAAGACCTAAAGTTTTGAACAGTTTTCGAGGTCCAGTCTAAGCATTATCTATGTGAAATGGTCGCTTCTAACACTGCCACAATCGTTTTAAACCTAGTCTAGAGGAAGAATGCGTACAAAATTAGGACGTATACTCAGACAGTCATGACGCCCTTAGTCACACTCAGGTGGAAATGCCTGTCGTATGTTTTGTCGAACACTCAGGACTCAATAATTTAAGCGCACATCAAGGAAGAGCTCTCTCATCCACATCTCACATGAGGTTTGTATTGCTCTATTGGCTTTAGCGCACCTTTATTTCCGTTATGTTTCGCTTTTCAGGTAGTTAGCAGAAATCTTGCTATCATTTTGCAAGAAACAAAGCTTCTTCTATTTAAAATGTTCTTATTCTTTGTGCATTTAAGAATATGTAATAAGATATAACTAATTAATATGTCCTGGACCATCGTAAGGTAAGAAATCAGTAATGACTTATAAAATGTATGGCTACAAGAAAAGGCACCGAAGTACGTGAATATTACCTACAAAATACAATTTCAATAAGAATGTTTTGAAACAATTTTATTTAATTTGGCGGATAAAACGGTAGTTGTGTGTCCTAAACAGACTAATAAAATGTATGTAACTTTAAGTGCTCGAGATTTGTACGAACTTCAGTTCCTGTTAACCCTTCC